CGAGACTCCACTCGACAAGAACGAGACAAACTGTTCGCCCAGTTGCAGGATGCCCTCGATGAACTGCAACGACGAACAGAAGAGAAAGATCTCTTACAAACCCGGCACCAAGCCCTAACTGATGAGTCTGGTAGTCTACAGCGCGAGCTTAGCCAGGAACGCTCTCAAGTTCGGGAACTTCAGCGAGCTTTGGACGAGGAAAAGCAGCGCTCATTGGAAAACGGACACATCATACGTGCACAGTACAAAGAAGAGGTCCAACGATTGCAGGAAGAAATTGAGTCTCTTCAGCACGAAATTGAAGACAAAGAAGGCCAGTTTGCGCTTGAGCAGGACAGGTGGGAAAGCGCAAAGCGGACTTTACAACTTCAGAAAGACCGGGCCGAGGACCAAGCGGCTGGCTACAAGCGTACTGTCGAGAAGCTCGAACAAGTTGAGCACTCTCTTTCAGGCAAGGAAGTGAAACTGCAGGAGGTCATCGATAGTGAGAAGGCCCGACATTTCAATGCAGAAGCAGTTCTTAGTCGCCAAGTGAAGGAATTAAATGACGACATCGCATCGAAACGGGAAGTTATCGATGAGCTGAGAAACGAGCTTCTGTCTGTCAAGGAAGAATTGAGAGTCACCAAACGGGAGGAAGTGGCCTTGAGAGACAGAGTTCAGGCTCTAGAAGACGAGGTAGTTGTTCTTCAAGCGAGCTTAGAAGAAGAGCAAGAATACACGAAAGCTCGGCTGCAGAAAGGGTCTTCAGAAGACGGCCAGTTGCAAAAGTTGGTGGCAGAGAAGCAAAAGCTCCGTGATCAGCTGGCAAATGCGCACGTCGAACTACATGACCTGCGCACTTCAGTAGCTGAGCTAGAGGCCGAACGCGATGAACTCCAGAATCAACTCGATAACGTCAAAGACCAGGTTGACGATACGACCCGATTTGACCGAGAGAAGATTGATCTTCGCAAATCGGTCCTGCGCCTTGAAGGTGAGGTAAAGAGATTAAAGGACGATAAGGCTTCACTTCTGGAAGCGAAAGAATCTCTTGAAAAGCAACTGAGCTCTGAAATTGAGCGTGCCACGCAGGAAGAGAACCGATTGTCGGCCGAAATTGATCAGCTTCAGGATAAGCTGCATGTGGCCTCCGGTGGGCGAGACAGAGAACTGACGCTGGCTAAAGGTAAAGTACAACGTCTGGAGAAGCGCATCCATGAGCTTGAGTCGCTTCTCGAACAGCAGCCTCTTGGAGATATCGAGCAGTCTACTTCCAATGCAGACCTTTCGATGCTCCGTCATAATCTGGACGAGGCCCGAAAGAGAGAACGAGTCCTGCTACAAAGGGAAGCCGATCAGAAGTCGTCCGTTCGCAAATGCAAGCAGCGAATCTCTGAGCTGGAAAGGGAGCTCCACGATGCGTTGATGAATAAATACGAAACGAGTTCGCCTCATGGGTCGCCCTCCGACAGATTACATGAAGAAACACGGAGTCTACGGAAGCAGCTGTCTGAGGCTCATCGGGCCCTGAAGGAGTTGCGAGCTAAGAACCGTGACCTCGAGCGAGCAGCCATGCGAGAGGAGGATCAGCGAGATCTCCACGAACTCCTCAAATCTTCCACTCTTGAAGCCGAGTCGCTAGCATTGCAAGTGTCTGAGAGGGATGCTCGCCTCAGCGACTTGAAGTCGCAGCTTCGCAGAGTCCGTGAGGAGCGCGCCTTCTGTATCAGAAAAGCTGAGACGGCCACCAAGGAGCTGGAAGGTCTTCGAGAACGTTATGACAAAATCGTGAAGACCATTGAGTCCAACAGCGACAATAAGAACAGGCACGACAAAGAAATCCTAGGTCTTGGCAAGGAGATCATCTGGCTTCGAGCTCGGTTGAGGCGAGAGGAGAAGTTCCGGCGCGACCTAGCTTGGAGCAAGGGCTTGATGGAGCTTGGAGAACGAGTCCGCGTTGCTTGGTATGTGCACCTGTCCTGTATTTTCCCCCTCTCGTACAGCCGCTGACTATCAACTAGTAACGAGGCCGACCTCAGAATGATCAATGAGATGGGCGTCAAACCTCGGGATCGAACCCATTTCCGGACTCCACGGCAAAAACTGAAGACTGCGGTCTCCATGGTTCTGGCCACCGTTCGCATGCAAAGAAAGTCTCGTGAGTGGTCGAAGACGAAGAAGTTAGGCGAAGGTCTCAAGCGCGCCAAAAATGAAGTGTTGAAGAAGAGGAGGGAGAGCTCCGGCAAAGCTGCAATGACTTAAATCCTGACATTCTCCATTCCTTGCTTATATTGTTCTCTGTTTCCTCCGTATAGCCCTCATTCTTGTCTGATTCTGTTGCAGAGATTCCCCAGTGTGCTTTGCATACCTCATTCGCATATGGCCTTGTTTAGCTTCTTTCCTAGGGTGTTTGATGGATGTATTAGTTTCAGTCTTTATTACTGCGAACGCTCTGGGCTTTTTGACTCATCGCCAGCTTCGAGCTGGGGCTACTGCGGAGTTGGGCATAGGTTATGACTTTGGGCATTGTTGCTTTCATGATCAGGATATTCCAATGAGATATGTCATTTTTTTTACTCGCTTTTGGTTACCAGGAACCAACCCAGTCCACATGAGGGACAACTAGAAAGAATTTGAAATTTCGAATCTGGCTATTGATCCTTGACAGCTCGTTTGCAGCATAAAATTTGTGACAAAGCTCTTCGTGAGAATATGAACAAGTTCAACCCATATCCAAGCCATTTAAGTGTGACAAAAGACACAAGAGATGAGAAGAAAGAACGCCTCGCCTCGCCGAACGGATAACGCTTCTGAACACCGAGCTCTTGATGACAACATGAAGAAGAAAAGATAAGGACATAGCGAAGACATAACGCATAGTGATGGCTGTATGTGGGATAACAGGGCCGAAGTCGGCTCCTTGAAGCTTTCCCCAATGCGTCGGGGGAAAAAATCTCAAAGACGCATATGTATACCAGGTGCCGATAGGAAGGCAGTATGCAGTGAGTTTCTATCAGTTGTATCGTTGCAGGAACAGACGTGAAGAACGAAGAAAGGGACAAATCAAGCTCCCTCACTGCCGAATTCTTTGGTCCATTCTGCGTTCCTTTGGAGGTCTTCCTGGCTGACTGTTGGTCTTGAATTGCGAACAGCTTTGATAAAGTCCTTCAACATAAGAGGTGGCTCAAGGAGCTGATCGGCTTCGATGTTCACCCATGACATCTCGGTCGCACCGCTATCGCCGGGCGAGCACGGGGTCAACTTCTCCGCGCCATCGACCATGACCTGCCGCTTGTCAGTGAGGTCCAAGTCATAAGAAACGAGAGGCGAGGCGCTTACCTTCTTATAATGCGTCGCTGTCTGGATTTTACGAATGGGCTGCATTAGTGCGTCTTGGACGGCGATGCTGATATCGCTACCAGAATAGCCCTCACTCATCTCGGCCAAAGTCCGGTAGTCGGCCTGCGTCATGTGGCACGGTGTTTGGCCCACGGCGAGCATGAACATCTTCATCCGGGCGTTGATATCGGGAAGACTGATATGTACTCTCCGCTGGAATCTTCGTCGAATCGCTGCATCTAGTTGCCAAGGAATATTCGTTGCGCCTAAGATCAGCACTCCTCGCGAATCCTTGCCCACGCCGTCCATTTGTACAAGAAGTTCCGTCTTGATACGGCGAGACGCCTCTGACTCTCCTTCGCCACGAGGTCCACAAAGCGCATCTACCTCGTCGATGAAGATGATCGCTGGTTTGTTTTCGCGCGCCATATTGAAGAGCTGCTTGACAAGTCTGCAAAGTATGTGTTAGTGAAACCCGTACCGATGAAGTGCGATGCTCGTCGCTCCAGGATAATCTATACCTTTCACTCTCACCCATCCACTTAGAAACCAAGTCACTGCTACTGACACTGAAGAACGTGCTGTTTGCTTCCGTCGCAACGGCTTTTGCCAGGTATGACTTTCCGGTACCGGGAGGTCCGTATAGCAGAATACCCTTCCAAGGCTGCCGTTTCCCAGTGAACAGGTGCGGAAACTTGATAGGTAATATAACAGCCTCCTTTAGAGCCTCCTTGGCGCTTTCAAGACCTGCAACATCCTCCCATTTCACGTTCGGTTTGTCCGACAAGATAGCGCCAGCAAGGGCCGACCGTAGCTTCTTCGCATCGGCATCTTCATTATCGTCGTCCTCCTTCCTGATGAAACATATATGTTAGTATGATACTCAAATAATTCGACCACTATCGCTGCAAAGACAGGAATTCCGAAGCCATACCCGCCCTTCCCACTTCCTTGCGCCACCTTGCCGTTGGCGCCAATAGCACTCGGTTTCTTCTTGTCTTCACTCTGAGCCAGGTGGTTCTTAAGTTTCTCTGCTCGATCCATATACTCGGCCGTCTTTGCGCGAATCATCTCCTTGGACTTGGGGTTTTTCTCCCACTTCAAGGCCAGCATGAACAGCTCCAGTGCGGAGTAGTAGCCCTGATACGCCTTCTCGTACTCGCCCCCATTGTCGAGCTCGATGGCCTTTTTCACGGCATCGATCGCCCGACCTAAGAAATCGGTATTATTGGTCATGATCACACGCAGTTCAAACTGCTTGTTTCTCCAACACTGGCCTCGTCGTCGGGGAGCCGATCGGAGAGTGAAAGGCGGGGGAGCAACGAAGGGACAGTTGCCTGGTTGATCTGATTGCCAGGTGAACGGGGTAACCGGCGAAACAGCTGAAACGATTGAGCGAGGCCGAGGACCAAAAGCTTTTTTTTTCAACGCATAAGCAAATCGTGTTAATGCGACAGAAGGGACAGTAAGTGCTTGTCTTGTTCACAGCAGTATGACGATGAGAGAAAGCGGACGGCCACTCGCCTGGAGGAAGTAAGCTGGTTTGGTCGTTGTTTACCGTTCTGTCATTACGGTAATTACCAGCATTTTGTGTCCCCGCCAACGCCCCTCACGCTCAAGAGACAGCATTGCCAAAACCACAGTCAACTTTGGAAGTAGTTGAGGATACTTAAGACACTATGGCAGACCCGCAGAAGCAGTTTCAGGCTCTCTCTGATGAGTATCAGAAGCTACAAACTGGTATGTGATCCCGGTTTCCAGCATCCAAACGATTCAATCAACTCGATGGCATCATCGCAAGCTCTAACGCGCTGCCGATATCATATCCAGATCTCGAAGGTTTCATCGATGCTCGCCAGAAACTCGAGTCGCAACAGCAGGAGAACAAGGGCGTGCAGGGAGAATTCGACAAATTGGATGAGGACTCGAAAATCTACAAGATCGTGGGGCCCGTCTTATTGAAGCAAGACAAGAACGAGGCCGTCATGGCTGTAAACGGACGACTTGAGTTTATTGAGAAGGAAATGTGCGTTTTCCCTTATCATATACTTCCAGCACGGATCGAAGATCATGGCTGACGGCAGCAATAGCAAGAGAATTGAGGGACAGATCAAGGAGGCTCAAGAAAAGGCCGAGAAGAAGCGCGCGGTGAGAGATACCCCCAGAAAGCTATCATAGTCGTGTTCTGACGGTCTATTGTCATGGCAGATTGTTCAATTCCAAACTCAGCTTCAGCAGCAAGCTGCCGCTTCCGCTTGAGAATTCTGAGATCCTGGTTCAATCCGGTTCCCTGGGAGGTCTAATCCTAATGTCAACGATGCCAGGCCACACTGCTATTGGGAATGCCTTTTCGCGCAGCTCCACCTCGTCTGTGTGATACAAGCCGTGCTCTAGGCTCCTTTGGCCATCATAAGAGGATAGTCCAGATTCGCTTAGTCCAGATTAAGCGAGACTGGTCAACTACCGGGTCGGGTCAGAGGAGGGTTGTTTTGCCGATTTCTCGACGTATTCGTCACTAACCAATATGTGCGAAGCCTGTCTGGAGGGTTCTAACGGCGAAACTTTCTATATACCCCCTTTGTGTTGAGCTGCAGTCTTGAAGTCGTATCGGGTGTTAGCCGATGCTGGAAGACTATGCATTGAATTTGTCCATAGAGTCAAGACGAATAATAGCTCGTACAGTCAGAATGGCCCGCACTTACATACGCAACGGATCACTCCTAGTCATGAGTCGTCTGCGACACCAGATCATTGAGCGCTATTGGGATATATTTGCTTTTCAATGGGTCTCCAACGCTACCTGTGGCTATAAAATCATCGCTTGTGAATCTATTTCGTCGACTCCTCCCATTGTACGCCGACCCATTCCTCACGCCATCCGACTACTCCGACCTGTTTCGGCCCACAGTCCTTACTGCAAACACCAAGAATGATGGTGCCCCATTCCATACCAGCATCATCCTTGAGTCCTAAGCCGACTCCCTCGCGGCCCTCTTCTAAGACAGTAATAGCGTGCGGCACAAGTTGTAGCTCAAAGACACGTTCACTACCGCAGTACTCGCAGCGTGGGAACCGGCTCGCACCACTTGCGACAGTCGTCACCCGCGGACCGGAGGTGCCATGCTTCGGGTCGTGGAGTCGCTTGCCCACAGCGTCTGTGTAAGAATAGAGGAGCGGAGATCCACGGAACTCATAGCGCAGAACTTGCTCTGGGTTGTGTGCTAAGCGTGTTGAGAATCGGATAAAGGCCTTGTCCAACTCAGACTCAAAGGCATCCTTGAGATCTGAAGAAGACCCTTTGCCTGTTTCCTCCTCTTCGGTGTTATCTATGGTGACATTCGCAGGTATTGTTGGTGTGGAGGGTCGAGAAAGGGTCTCATATTCGGCATCCAGGTAAAACTGCGGATACGGAGCTGGGAAGGCGGACTTCTCAGGCCAAGGGGCAGCGGGTCCAGCGGCTTCCGGTGGCATAGTTTCTGGGGGTGGGGAGGAGACTCTGACCTTGTCGGCGAAGGTCTCGGACAGTGTGTTAGTTGATGGTGTTGTAGTTGAGGCCTCCTTAGCTGGCGTCGGTGCTGCAGTAGGAGCCGCAAATGGGTTGCTGGCAATCGCTGAAGATGTGTTCGATGAGGAGAAGGGATTCGGGTTCGCGGAGACACTGCCAGTGAGGGAGGTAGTACCGAATAGACTCGCTCCGAGATCCTGCTTGGGAGCCTCGACCTTCTGTTGTTTGTCCTCCTTCGGCTTCTCTTCTGTTTTCCGTGGCGCCTGCTCGACCTTGAGCTTCCTCACTGCGCGCAACGCCCTGATGCTGCCTGGCTTCTTGTTGCATGCCTTTCTGGGGCATCCAAATATATACAACCGTCTCTCATCATCAGGAAAATGATCGGGAAGGTCACCGTGCAATTCAAGGAGGAGAAGCATCGGACTGTTGCAAACCTTGCAGTTGGCGAAATCACCTGGGGGCGGGGTAGAATCGTCAAGCCATGTCTAGGGATGGGGATCAGTATGAATACATCCCCTGAGGGTCGAGTCGGTCCACATACCGGCCAGCCTCCAAGGTGACTGATAGTATCATCTATGACTTCTTCGGAAGGATATCCTAGAAGCACTCCGGTCTCAGTGAAATCCCCCTCATCATCGAAACCCGAGGAATCGCTGTCGTACGGGTCCATTGTCGTGAGATCTAGTAATCAACAAAGGAAACGATTAGACTTGAGTTTTATTTCCAGAAATTGCATATGAACAACAAGCAAAGTGTAGCGCTATCACCCCTCCAAAAGTTCTTTACCTCCGAAAAAAAGATAAAAAAGATCGGGCGCGATAAGCGATACGAGCCTGGTATTAAACTAGTCCGGATATGGACTAGGACGATTTGTCCTCATGTGCTGTCTTGGGGCCTCATCATCCCCAACGACACCACTTCCTGTGGAACATCTGATATATTGATCTGTTTAAACAAGGAGACTCAATTTTGTATATCGCATACTATCGTCTATTGATGGAAAGTTGTGGTTCCGATTGAGACAGTGAATCGAGGTTGTTTTGGCCGGAACTCCATCAGTGACGTACTAGTAGTTTGGTTGATCCTAGGTAGTGCTCTCAAGCATCAACTATACATTGGAAGACATCTAATGCACTTATGGATTCCTCATCGCAGTCTATCCAACATGCATTGCTACGCTTTTTTACTGTCTCACTTGCAATAGTCCTTTGTTTTGCCTCGCTCATCAATGCAGAACAACAACCCCTAGGTACACCTCGCGACAGCCCAAAACGGGTTGCAATAATCGGTGAGCAGCTCGATATCTGGATATTACCAATAGAAGACTAACATCGATTCAGGAGCCGGGGCTGCAGGGTCATCGGCTGCGTACTCTTTGCGCAAGTTTGCAGATTCTCTTCAGGTTCCAGTTGACATCACGGTCTATGAGCGGAATTCATATATCGGCGGCCGTTCAACAACCGTCAACGCGCTGGATGATCCGAAGTACCCAGTAGAGCTGGGAGCCTCAATCTTCGTGTCGGTCAACTATAACTTAGTGAACGCCTCCAAGGAATTGGGACTTACTGTCCGCAGCGCCGACCACGCTCGCCCCAGAGAGTCTGACGATACGATTGGTGTCTGGGATGGCGAGCAATTCGTGCTGGTGCTACAGGACACCTACAGCTGGTGGAATATTGCTAAACTGTTATGGCGCTATGGATGGTCACCGATCCGCACTCAGAGCTTAATGAAAAGCACCGTCAACAAGTTTCTCCGACTTTATGACTCGCCTTATTTCCCATTCAGATCGCTTACTTCGGCTGCGGCCGCAGTTGACTTGCTAAATACCACGTCAGTCCCGGGAGATGTGCTGCTTCAGAATAGCGGTATATCCGCGGACTTTTCACGGGACGTGATTCAAGCGAGCACGCGGGTCAACTACGGGCAGAATCTACCTCTGATCCACGGTCTCGAGGCGATGGTTTGCATGGCTACGGACGGAGCGGTTTCTATCGAGGGCGGCAATTGGCAGATTTTCGATGGCATGCTGACGTCCTCAGAGGCCGATGTCAGAGTCAATCACAGTGTAACATCCATTGAACGGAATGCCGACGGCACATTGACCGTCGGGTTCAAGGCTACCGAAGTCGAAGAAAGCTCCGTGTTCGACGAGGTGGTTATCGCGGGTCCACTACAATACTCAGACATCGCTATCGAACCACCCCTCGAGCACGTCCCCGATGAAATCCCCTACGTCAAGCTCCATGTGACCCTCTTCTCCTCACCACATCTCCTTTCTCCGCAGTTCTTCAATCTCCCCTCAGACAGTCGCGCTCCCGAAACCATTCTCACGACGCTTCCCCGCGGGGTGGACCTGGGCTCCAACAAGGCAGGCGTCGGCCCAGCCGACTTCTGGAGCATCAGTACCCTCCGCACTGTGCAAGTCCGGCGTAGCGACGGTACCCACGAGAAACAGTACGTGTACAAGGTGTTCTCGCCCGAGCGTCTCACCGCGTCGTTCGTGGGCACTATCCTCGGTCTCGGGCACAAAGGACTCTCCACCAATTCGACAATTGGAGACCTTCCACAGGATGATGTAAGTTGGCACCATGAGAAAATCTGGAATCCGTACCCGTTCCTCTACCCGCGTGTTACCTTCGAGGACACCATGCTTGCGCCGAATCTCTGGTACACGGGCGGCATTGAGAGCTTCATCTCGACCATGGAGACCAGTGCCCTGATGGGTAAGAATATTGCTTCGTTGATCTCGCAGTCATGGGAGGATCAAAAGGGCAGCAGTGCCCAGGAAACGACTCGCCAGGGAAAGACTGAGCTCTGAGAGATTTGAAGATATATTCCTTTAGTTTGTCTCACTGCAGCTACAGGAAGTATATAAATGCCTGCCCACGATGGTGGAAATGAGGCTCATGTTGCAAGACAACAATCCTTCCCCTAATCATATTCCTGAAACATGATCATGTAGATTCTAATTCACTAAGCCCGTGCTGGAAACGGACGCTGAAGATGACAAGCTGAGAGAAGCTCGGCAGCATTCGAAGTGGATAAGATGAGGACAGTTGGAACTACAGTTGAATGGTTGCGAAAGGGAATATCTTGAAATCATTAATCTTTTTAGTCCATTCATAGACTACCTTGGTCAAGATGATTGATGGTAGCTAAAGCCTAATTTGTGGCCAGACAGTGAACCTTTCGTCCTGTTGAAGAAATGTTGAATATTTGTTCATGCTCATGTATACCGTATCCCATGACCCGCGTAAGGTTGAAAAAGCAGACCTGTAAAAACCCCTGAACGTACTCCCGGCGACCCAATTTTATACGCAATGATGTTGAACTCGTCAAAAGCCTGAAGAAAACCAGAAAAGCATATTTTGGTATCATGTGAGATTATTTGTTCTGCCCTGATGTTTAAACAGGCAGGGGGAAGGTGCTGGCCCACTCGGCGACCTCCTTGCGGAGAGCGAGGATCTCGGGGACAGAGTCGGAGGCAACCTTAGCCTTGAAGTCCTTGAGCTTGTTGGCCTCCTTGGGCAGGTCAGCCTGGATGCTCTTGCAAAGGTTGATGACCTGGTCGATGTAGCGAGCGACGCGCTTGAAGTCCTCCTCGCCCATACCACGGCTGGTCATAGCGGGGGCACCGATACGGATACCGCATGGGGTCAGGGCAGACTTGTCACCAGGGATGGAGTTCTTGTTGCAGGCAATGTTGATCTGCTCGAGGACAGCCTCGACACGAGCACCATCAAGACCCTTG